TTGGAGAGGCTTACACTGCAATTATATAAGTAATAAGTCTCAGTTTGATGACATGGGCTTAGCACAGTAGTGCCATCTCCAGCTGTTGCTCTGTAGTTCTCACAGCTTCAATTGATTCTTTGATATTCTCTGGTCAGGATGGTTTCTGTGTGTGTCGTTCCATTCTTAGCAAATTCATTTGCTTGAGGGTAAGCAGCTGTGAAAATACAGTTAAAGCTCTGAGAGAATGCAGAACACCATAAGAACTTCTATTTTTACTAAAAGCAGGACAATTTCCACTGTCTGAATTGCAGCTTGGAGTCATGGTTCCCAAGACTTAATTCAAAATCAAATAAGAAAGAATGCATCTTTGGAGTCACTTTCTTAAGCCAAGTGGCTCGCTCAGTAATCTTATATAGCTGAGTGTTAATGTCCCCAGAAGTGTCAGTCCCGGTGCAGCAAATGATGTTGGCCAAAGCACAGACATCTCCTTGTTCAGTTAAAAGATAATCAAGGGGTAATCTATCAAGAATAACTTAGGCAAGAAGATCTAAGGTCTTGTCTTGGGCAGCTACTGTTTTAGCAACAGATTCTTCAATACCTTCAAGAATTAAGGAGAGATTGTAAATTACAGTTTCATTTATATTTACTCCCTAACCAGGCAGCTAGGGACTTGCCAAATGAAGCGAATCCTGAATCCTGAATATTCCCTGGTAGGTGTTGTCTAACTTGAAATAATATTTAAAGATTATATAAAAGTTTAAAATTAAATGAATGGTCACAAATGGAAAAGAATACTTTTTTCATGCAATGTTTCAGAAAACAATTATTAACAAAAAACTAACAATTTACCTTGTAATTGAAGATACAGTAATCAAATGAGTAAATAGATATTTGAAACAAAAAGACATTTCTTGTTTCTTATACAAAGTCCACAAATTACCAGAAATTTGAGGGTGGTTATTAAAATGCCATTAATTAAATTTGTATTTAAAATTAAATACAGATTTACATGGAATGGATTTGTAGAAATCAATGAGACGATATTGACTTATAAGGGAAATGTTTTTAGAAAAACATCTTGAAAATAATCAGCTCTACCTATACTAAAATTTATATTTTGATACAGTTTAACAAGTATTCATCCCCATGCTTTCAAAACCTATAAAAAATTCAGATAATTCCAGTAACATATACAGAAAGATTCTTTTCAAAATTCAAAACAATCAAAAATTAATTGCAACCTAGCATTTGTCACCAGTGACTGAAAACACTTTGAATTACATTGCTAAAATTTTGAAAAGTATAAATTTTGATGAAAATAATTTTGGAGAAAAATGAGCCCCCCCATCTTATAATCAATAAAAACATTGTATAATAAAACATAACTTTTATTATGTATAAAATTTTGCCACAGCATATTCTTTGTAACTTGTAATGCATTTCATAACTAATGAATTAATTTTGAAGAAAAATAACTATATTTGAGCACCAATACTTGTACTTTTTTCTGATTTCTGAATAAGAAGACTTATATTTTCATTGTGTGCTGTGTCTTGCAAGTTAAGTAGGATGTGACCTTTCTCTTCCCTGCTGCACCAGAGAGGTAAAGCATATTTTTCTGCTGATTACTGATGAACAGTGCTAACACTTCACCCAGGAAGTGCACCAGAGCTGATGGATTTTTACTGAATGCAGTGGTGGGATTGGTTTAGGAAAGTGACTAAGCCATAAAATGGATGGACTGCTAAAGTTGGTTCATAAAAGTTGACCTTCCTGAATACATTTCAGTAGAACTATGGGATGTAGTGGGTGGTGAACAAAATCTCATCTGAGAGA